TATTTATAAACATTTTTCAAAATTGCCCAAAATGTTATAATTTCACATTAAGAACTCCTTCATTTAGTAATATCTATAAAAGAACTGTCAAAGCAAATGTTTAAAGTATCAAGACCTGCAGCTACTTGAAAACCTCCCATTGAAAGTGATAATAACAATAAAGCCCTTAGCTGTTGTTTGAAATTGGAGTGCTCACGATTTATAAAATTTTTACATGAACCAGTCAAGGACAAAACAAGTGACGCTGACCCCACGCAGGCTAACAAAATGAGATGTCAAAGGTCACATAGTAGAAGCATCTAGAACTGTAATATCAAAAATGTAAGTTAATATTTTTATAGAATACACATGCAAACGAGTGCAGGCTGCAAACATTGTAGGTTTTAAAATGAGCAGACATGTCAAACAACAGACGTGATGACTTCTCCAAGCACGAAAAGCACAAGTGCAACTAATGACATCAGTGATGGCTTCAGTCCTATTAAGTGTCCCATTAACCTTAGAGCATGCACGAGACCAGAGCTCAGGAGCTGACGCATGCTCAGTAGCTGACATTCAGCCACTAGTAATGTTATGAAAATCACCTGTGGTTGACAGGTCAGACTGTTTCCTATAGGAAAGGCCACAAACAAATGGAAGAAATGAAGGAGAAAAGCAGAGAGCAACAACATAAACTCACCAGCATCCACTATTCAGCACATGTAACCTTGCATGTAACACAACGCAACAAGCAATACTGTTTACAACACATGTGCAGACATGCAGAGCAGCAATACAACATAAATGAAATATGATATAAATATTGAGCTATATTATATGTTAAAAGATGCAGTAACATGTTATTAAAATAGTAATACCATACATGTAACACCTAATCCATGCAGCACAGCTGTAGACACAAGTATAGAAGGTAGATGCCACTCTGCAGACAAAGTACTGGTAAATAGTTTGTATTTACCTAAACCAAAGCTAACCACCTGCATATAGTGAAGGTTGTTGTTTTCTGGTTTTACGTGCTCCTCACTTTGCACTTTTACATCTTTATGTAATTCTATTTATGTGCTGCTGTCTCACTTTGTAATTAAGACTTATATCTCGTGCAGCAGAAACCCAGACCAGATTAATTGAATATCAGTTATTATTTTATCATGTGGATAGATGGCAGGGGAGTAATTGCATTTGTCAAATGACCGTTGGATCTCTGTTTTAGATTAAGATGTCTGGTGAAGCAGTTGGAGAGAGGAGAGGCTTCCCTCGCAGACCTCAAGAAAAACCTGGAGTATGCGGCGGCGGTGCTGGAATCTGTTTACGTCGAGGAGACAAGGTAAAAAAAACAAACAGACAATAGCTCTCTGCTGTGTATTTACCAGGTCCATTCACTGAGAACAATAGAAGAGCACTGATGAAGGCCAGACTCTGGATAATGGATGACTATCATTAGTGTGGCAATTGACCTGTGTTGTGATTCTTTGTTTCATTTCAAACATTAAATGTGCTTCATTTACTCTACTTACATTGATCATTCATATTGTTGCTGAGTATAAATATCAATATTTTCCCTCATTTGGTGTTTTGATGTTGGCGGTGGAGAAGAAAATCTCCCAAAGGTGTTTCATTGGGTTGAGATCCAGCGACTGCAAAAGCCGTAGCATATCACATCGTACTCATCAAACCAGTTTTACCTTTAACCTGTCACCCATATATAATGTGGAACAGGTTTTGATATTGTGGCTGATGATTGTATGTCAATAGTTGGATTCAGGTCCAAGATATGAACAGGCTTATGGAATTATGTAAGCCTCTCGTCATCGAGATCTCGCCAGATTAGGGCCAGCGATGGCATGACCACTCCAGGACGGAGGATGATGAACTATCCGGTGCAGAATCCATGTAGCGCCACGATTATCAGTGTGATGTGAATGCTTTTCTCTTTGCCATAAGAACATGTATTCAGTTCAGTGGGTGGAGACCGACAGGCTTTGCTCTTTATCCCTCGTACATGTCAACACAACGGGGTAGCTGTGGAGAATTATATCACGTAGTTGGATTTGAATGATGGTGTTTCAAGAGGGCTGGGATGTTTTGATGTTACATAAGAGGTGTTATTATTTGGTGGGCAGCTCTGGGTTTGAGTTTGATCCCCTATGAAAGTAGACCTGGTGTAAACAATAAATATGTTAGTAAGCCTGTGGTCTCTCCTTTATTTCTTTTTCCATTTGTTTCTGTCCTTTTTCCACTCTCTCCCTTGTGTTCAGACGCTTGGTGGACACAGAGGATGAGCTCAGCGACATCCAGTCGGAATCTGTGCCCTCAGAAGTGCGGGACTGGCTGGCCTCCACCTTCACTCGCCAGATGGGCCTGATGCTGCGACGCAATGAAGAAAAACCTCGCTTCCGCAGCATCGTCCACGCCGTTCAGGCTGGAATATTTGTTGAGAGGTGTGTGTGACGCACAAAAGCACAAACCACACTGACACCCAGGCATGCAGTTACAATTCAAACAGATTATCACCTTTATATTTACTTCTCCGATGTTGCTGCTCTATCATTGATCATAAAGCACCAGAGTAGCCAGGAGCAACTTAAAGCGATTCTATCAACAGCTTTAGTTTGGTCTTGCATAAGAAATGGACATTTACTCTGCCCTTGTGGGTTTCAGGGCTTTTGCTGCACATACACTTTATTTTACTGACATTTTTTCGCTTTTGATTAATTTCAGTTTCATATGAAAACTGAAAAATACATTGAGGCTAGAAAAATGCTTGATTTAGATCATCCATCACACATTATATCTGCTTTAAGACCATCTAGGTTAGATTAGCTTTGATACCTACATTTGATTAGAATTCCTTTAAGTTAATATTAGGAAAGATATATCATTATACAATACAGATACAAAGTGTTGACATAATGTGTGAATGATTATTTATGAATGACCAAAATTATAGCAAATATATTATTAACTGTATCCAGTTTGCAATGTAAAAGTTCAAGGCTATTGTTGATTGGTTTTGCAAATAGTTGCAGCTTGAATAAATAATAATAATAATATATATTTAAAAATTCAAAGGCCCACGGCTCGTTTTAAAAGGAATTCTACGGCCCTTTCAGTCTGCTGCCAAATATATCTGCATGACTCAATCACCTGAGTCGACCGTATATCATTAGGGCCTTGGCAAGCCTGGCTAAGCACAATCATTTACAGAGTTATATCAGCCTCCTCTCCAAGGCTGTGCTTTATCACACACCAACATGCATTTGTTGCTGTAATCAGTGGCGAACCACGACTCTTACGACAGAGAAGGCAGAGCATTCTCAAAGGCCCCCTCTGATAAAGTCATTTTAATATTAACAATGGTAAATAAAGCCTACATATTAGCAAACATAGCATAAAACCACTTTGTTAGACAAAATTGTTTCGAAGAACTAAAAATTAAAAGGGGTCGCAAGTCATGTTGAAATGTTTCAGCACCAAGGACAGAGCATGACGTTCAGCCCCACAGCAGATAGACAGCGACGTCACATTAACATAAAATATCAGTTTACAGCTCCACAACATTCAAACATGAAATTAATAATGACGAAATGGCAGATTCAAATAAATAGCTTACCGTCTACACCACCACAGGCTGTGACACAGACAGCCCTGAGATACAGTCAATGTACAGGAAACACCAGAATAACAAAACGTTCTTAGTATTAACTTTATAAATAAGATTTGATAATAGTCTAAAAAGTTGCACTCAATGCACTTAATGCAACGGATTTGTTAAAGTTATATTGTAACCTGTCACTGTGCCAGTCATTTAGGGACAGACTCTGCTGGTGGAGTCAACTTGCCCCAAGTGCCCCTTCTGAGCATTGGCCCTGGGGCAGCAACACTCTCTGCCACTAGGGTCGCTCTGCTTATGGCTACATAGACATTTTAAATGAAGATTAACTTGAAAGAGATGAAAATGAAAAGATGGAGACTTGATATTCAGATGCATTTTTGGAAACTATTCCAAGACTTTTAGTTTCTAGTATTTTTGTTGTATTCATTAAAGAAATACTGCAGTGTTGAGCAATGCATTACAACCTTCCAAATAATTCTAAATGCTTCGCTAAGTCTCTTGGGGAATTACTCAGCTTGTTTTTGCATTTGTGATTAAATTAATCTACATTTCAATCCCTTGTTTTTAATAAAGCTTTAAACCTTTAGCATGTGATAAAAAAAAACAGACTTGTTGTTGCCTTTTCCAAATGTCCCTGATTCACGTGTGTTGTGTTGGTGTGAAGGTTAGAGAGAGTCTTGGTGGGGAACCTTCCAGGCTGTGCTTTGGGACCGGAGTTGTAACCTCTGGTGTTTACACTCAGCGGTGCGTTTCATTTGATGTTTTTATCTCATCCAAACAGGATGTACCGACGCACCTCCAATATGGTGGGACTCAGCTACCCCCCTTCTGTCATATCTGTGCTTAAGGTATTAACATGTGCACACACTCTCGAGCAGAAGCACGCAGATATGAAATAACAACTTTAGGCGCACAAAGACACACACACAAGTAACTGATCTGTAGAGGGGCATCATTTCCATAAGGCCCTGTGGCATTGCTCCCTTCACTTGTTGTTTTAGGTTTGTTACATGTTGGTATGTTCATCTGAGGCTCCTTCAGTAAATACAAGGTGTCCTTCCTTATCAGTGAAGGTTGTTGGGGCTGTTTGTTAATTTTCTCATTAAAAGAATTGAACACCACTCCAAATCAATGAGTATCAGATAAAAAGCCTTTTTTTTCCTAACTTATATTGTTTAAGAAGAAACATGTCAATGATTTTTTTTCTCTCCCTGCACAGAATGTTGACAAGTGGTCCTTTGACGTGTTCGCTCTAAATGAGGCCAGCGGGGATCACGCACTTAAATTCATATTCTACGAGTTACTCACAAGATACGACCTCATTAGCCGCTTCAAGGTAAAGTCACAAGGATAATAAAGCACGACGGACACTGCAGTACTTGTGTATATGTCATTAAAATAAGGAGAAACTAAAAATATGTAGTACGGACGATGACCTTCACCAGGTCTGATTTCATGAAAGTCAGATAACTCACCTCTCCTTGTCTCTCAAGAGTTAGATGTAATGACAACACAAGGGGAGGTTGAACATACATACTCTTATATTGGTTAAGCTCATGTTCCACAAGGTCTCAAAGCTGAGGAGACTTGAAGGTCCAGCATCCGAGGGAAAATGACACGAGCAGCGATGCGGACCCGAACAAGAGATTTTTACCTGGAGAAGCTTAAATAACGATCCATGATTTCATGACATCCAATTGCATGCATTGAAATGACATGTGCTCATTGTTTAAATAAGCTTCTAGAGCTCATATCCTGTTCATTTGTCCATCATCAGATCCCAATCTCCGCAGTGGTGTCATTTGTGGAGGCCCTGGAAGTGGGATACAGCAAACATAAAAACCCCTACCACAACCTGATGCACGCCGCTGACGTCACGCAGACTGTACATTACTTGCTACTCAAGACTGGCATGGTGGTGAGTGCTACATGAACACATTAGACGACACAGCGCTGTCAGTATCCACAGAAACCAGTGGAACAGGCTTGTTAAGTGTCATGAAAGGAAGCTCTCTGAAGTGAAGCTTAGTCTGTGGAATCAGGGGGATCTTATCCACATGTCTGTCAGCTGATGTGTGCGAGCCTAACTGCAGCGCTACTTGACGTGCAGCTTCTCAATGTGGCTTTATTTTTCTTTGGAAATGCACAAAATATTCTATCCTAAACAACAAAGACACAAGACACCCAAGAAAAAAAAACAAAAACATAATTCATCCCCAGTTTTGCTCTGAGCAGGTTCGTGAACATCAACCCACAGCTGTCAAAATGTGACACATGTTGATCGTCACTCTCTCAACATTTGAAGTCAAATATTTTCTGTTGCTGCAACATTGCTTCATTTCTACCCTTCATATTTCATCTTGCTTTTGTTTTTCTTTAATCTGCTGACCTATATTTCACTGCTTTGCTCCCGAGTGGCTTTAGGGTAGTTATGATGCTGCATTTATTCAAAACAACAAACAGAAAAACCTTAGCCCTGCTGAGTTCAAAGTCCCCAACCAGCCACCAGCCGGCCGCCCCCGTTTCCATTGTTTTTATTCCATCACCTTAATAAGGTGGCTGTGACAGCTGTCGACATGGTGTGTTTCTTTGGCCACTGCCTCCTGAAGTAAACCACATTACTGCCAGTACCACGGACTCCCAGGAGAGCTGCAGAATAACATCTATCATTTTGCAGGTCCTCCAGACAATCAACAGGTCATTCATAAAGAGGAAACATACTGAGGGATGGATCGGGCATGTCGCGCCCATCACCCCGTTCTTAATGAGTCTGCCATCCCCCACTGTTGATTAGTCACCAATATCGACTGTGCTAAATCCCCACTCTGTGTACGTGAGTGCACTCAGAACACGCACATCTCAGAGGAAAATGCCCACTCACAGGTGTGAGGTTGTTGCTCACCGTCACAGGTTAAACATGTGGAGAAGCGTGGTTGTATTTTATAGGGTTAGTGACCACTCAGAGCACTTAAAGGTGCAGTGTGTAAGATTAGCACCTGAAAAGGTTTAAACTTGAACAGGACACTACGATAGGATTTGTATTCTCACTTGTGACAACATTAACTTATAATAAACTTCAAGCGAGCTTCAGTAACAGTGACGAAGCAAACAGAGACAATGTCTGAGAGGAAGAGAAGAAGGACGAGTGTTGAAGCGACAGTTTTAAATGTGATTTTCCGTCGAGCTTGTCTTATCTAAAGTTTCCTTTCTGCTTTTCTGACCTTTCCTCCGTCTCCTCCCCCTTCATTTGTTTCCTCTCATCCCTGACGGTAATGTATTTCTCATCCTCTATATCACTTTTCACCTCCACATCTTTATGACATGATGTATCATTTCCTGCGTTCCCCCCTTTTTTCCATTCACTGGCTTCTCATTTCTCTCCTGTAATTTCTGGCCATTCTTTGCTCTTGTCTTCATTACGTTCCGTTCCCTCTTTCCCGTCGACGTCTCTGTCTTTTCCATCTCGTTGCCTCCCCCTCCTCAACACCCTTCTCTCTTCTACATGCTCCTCTTTATATCCTCCCCCTTATCTTCACCTTCCCTTCGCTTCCTCGCCCACCCCTCCCCTCCCTCCCTTCCGCTTCTCTATCTCTGCCTGCAGCATTGGTTGACTGAGCTGGAGATCTTTGCCATGATCTTTGCAGCGGCAGTGCACGACTACGAGCACACGGGGACCACAAACAACTTCCACATTCAGACAAGGTAATGGATCATAAAATCAAAAATGCATGGCACTGACTCAGCCGATCAATGTTTTCATTTACAGCATGGGGGCTTTATATTCACACTGAGATCCCCTGCAGTGCAATAATGAGGCCGGGGCAGGACGAGAGTCCAGATGATCTCCAAACCTCCTGCAAAAAAAGGAATAAAAACTCTTCTCTGTCAAACTTTACATTATCTTTGATGAGAATATGAAAAGATAAAGAATTAGAACACAATGGGTCAATTTATAATTAAGTAAAACATTTGACTGATAGATGATAATAAATTGTAATATCAAGTGGTCTATTCTTGTCTGTGGTGGTTTGTCCTTCCAATATAAACTGTTGAGAAAGTGCGGCTCTGCTTTCTCTTTTGACTGACAGGTCAGACACAGCAATCCTCTATAACGACCGCTCGGTGTTGGAGAGTCACCACGTCAGCGCAGCGTACCGCCTCCTGCAGGATGATGACGAGATGAACATTCTCTACAACCTGTCCAAGGATGACTGGAGGTCAGAGAGACGCGTACTTCAGCAGATGAAAGAGCTGAGAGACAGTAAAAGGGATATAAGACTCAGAGATGTAGTAGAGACTGAGAGAAATCACACAAAACAATGTACACATCACCCATTTAAGACTAAACCTCTTATGTTTCAAGAATAAGAACCGTTGGAGTCCAAATCTGGAAATTTGAAAACGTACTATTTTGTGTGATATTAAATTAAAGGAGACAGATTCGGTTTGATTTTTCTGGTATAAAATGGGACTTGTGGCTTTCAAATGCTGTGTTACGTGCTTTCATTTACCTTAGCGACTTCCAAAAATGAGTTGGCTTCCATCTTCTGTGGTTTTGACAGCTAGTCATACTGCACATGCCTCATGTTTTCCACCTCTTTGTTTTCTCTCCTTTGTTTTCATCCAGAGAGCTGCGGGCTCTGGTGGTGGAGATGGTGCTGGCTACAGATATGTCCTGTCATTTCCAGCAGGTGAAGGCCATGAAGAACTTCCTACAACAACCTGAGGGGTCAGTTGTCTTCTCCCTTGCTGATGTTTCCACTCCCTGCCCTCACCCCAGCACTTTAATTCTCCATTAACCCTGCAATCAGCCGCTGTTTACCAACCGCCCACTGTTTACAACCCAATTAACCCTGCCCTGCAGAGTGCGCTGGAGAAACACAATAAATATTCATGTTCTGTATTGGCAGATCATTATGTTTTACTCAAATCTGAAATCTAGTCAAACACAGGCAATATTAGAAGAATCAAAAATGAGAAAGGGTTGCCAGACACCAAAAAAGCCTTTAGTTATTTGTTAAAGCATTTTTTCAAGTAGAGGAGCAGGCAAACACTGGAATGGCACTCGGAGTGAACACCAAACTGAACTGCCAAAACCCAACAGTCTCCTAATGAAACCACATTTAAATTTACTAAAATCTGAGGAGTTCTCTCATGGGTCATGATCCAAGTAGTTTCTGCATATTACTGCTAACTATCAAATAAACAAACTCAGGAGAAAACAATCTCCTTTATCACAAGTAAACAAGCATATCATGTTGTGTAGAGCTTCAATAATTAGATGATTGATTGATTGATTATATATATAATCGGCTGCTATTGCCAAAACACTCTGATCAGGTTGTTCAGCCTCATCGAAATATTCTGCTTTTAAAGATTAATTTGCTAATGTAGTGTTAGTTCATTAAGTGGCCAAATGTAATTCATAACTATACACCATACAATTTACTTGGATAATGTATTGCCCCTCATAAGATACATTTTTCCCTGAGTGGAAACGCGAGGTAAATGGACCATTCAGAGGTTTGAAGTTGTTCTCAGGCGTCATTTGGACTTGAAATACTATATTGAGAGGAGAGACTGAGAGGCTGGTGATATGGCTCAGTGAGTGTGCGGACTGTTTGAGAGCTTTAGGGTTGTGGGCTTGATCCCTGGGAGGTGCACTCAATTTTAAAATCCTGTATGCGAAAGAAAGTCGAAATCTCTAAGAAACACAGCTTGAGAGTCTGTAAGAGAGTTTCGCTGGAGTTCTGTGTCCTGTATCAGTTCAGTATATTGAATTTTCAAGTTCCAGCAGCTGAAGTAAACATTCAAACACTGTAGGAAGTGAAAGTCAGTTGTCAGACCTCGTGTCTCTTGGTGGTAGAGGACTGGAAGGTTTGAGGTTGTGAGTTTGATCCGTATGAGGCTCAGTAAATTTTTAAAGTCCAACCACCTGAAGTAAAAACTGAAAAGAACCTTCTCCTGCATTATAGAGAAGCTCCTGGTGGTGTGGAGGGTTTGTTTGTGACTGAGGCATACGTTTGCAGTTTCAGAATGAACAGAGAGAGAGAGAGAGAGAAGTATGAGGTTTTGTGAGGAAAAGCTAACAAGTTAAATGTATTTATATAAAAAGTATAATCAGTATGTGCACTGCAGCTCCACACCACCTGCTGTCTCAAACGGTGACTGATGGTGAGTTTGTAATGACCTGGAGGTCCACTGCTGGATCGGTACCCAGGAAAACACACACACCTCTACACACACACACGCTCTATCACACGTTATTGAGAGATTGCACTCTGCCGGAAGCTCTAATGCTGAATAGACTCTAATGTCAAGTAATTTAAACCAGTGTGCTGCAGGCCTGCTTACGGTGCACTTTAAGATCCAATCTGCCACAAATGGGATAGCAGGAAATCTAAGCCTCTCACCTTTGTTTAACCTTGTGCTGTGTGTTTTCATTCGAGCGCCTGTTTTCCATATTGCTCTGTGTATGTCCGGTCATGCGTCAGTCCATTGCACGGGATATTTCGATGTGGTTATCAGGTCGTATCTCAGACACCAGCAGATGTGTGATGAGGTGAGATGATGCATTTTCACACTGTTTCAGAGTAGAAAACCGATTAGTCTAATGAAGGCAGTGGGATGGAAAGTGAGCCCCCCCACCTACTCAAATTTCTGTTTGGATGGACTTGTAAGCGGTTGCTATTTGGGTTCATGTTTTCGTATGCATGCTGATAATTGATATCTATACTGTCAGGGGCGGTTCCAGTGGCAAGGCCAGGGGGGCACTGGCCCCAGCTGATTGGTCCCTGAAGTACCCCTGTGTCATCACCCTGTGTTTCTGAAAGAAACAAGCTACTTCCTACCAATACTAACAATGAATATGACACACAGAATTATTAATTTCAATTTAATATTCAATGAAGAAATATCCTTGATCCACCACTGCACCCTGTCTGTATTCCCTCATCTTTCTAATGAGCGTTTTTCATGCATGCGTCATCAGTTTTACGATATGAGCGTCTCTGCAGGGAATTTATGCCATCACAACATTTTTATGTGTATATTATCCGACTTTTTTAAAACAACTTGTTTAATTTTAAACTGAATGCGCTGAAACACACTGCCTGAAGAACAAGAAGTGTGTAACTGACCCAACATGTCAAGTCTGGACTGTATTAATAGAAAAGTTTCCGTCCTCTCTGACTTTTCTTATTATGCTGCTCTTGCACAGAAAGTCAATTTTTGCTGAATAGATTGCTGCTGACACATTTACAGCTGTGCCACATTTTTTCCATTTTTCTTCTTTATGACTGACCGTACTGTCATGGGACATTCGGTACCTTGAGAATTCTCTTTTATCTGTCTTTCTAGTTTTTATTTTTTCAATGACTGTGTTGCTGATTTGTCTGGAATGTCTGTCTTCCTGATGTAGTTTTTACCAGAACACCGACTCCTCAGACATTGAGAGATTGTTCCTTTCACATAGAGGCGCTTTCAACCCAATCATCTGTGATTAGACACAAATCATCTTATTTTGATGAAATATAAAATCAAATAAAACAGCAGCTCCAGTCAGAATGTAGATGAATTTTATAAAAGGCAGTGATGCATTTGATTTACACTTATTTGTCTTTAACATTAGGTCAGACATGCTGTTTTATCAAAAATAGACTGTATAATAATAGATATCAAGTGGACAGAACCAAGCAAATACAGCAGCAAATTTACAACAATCTCTAGTGGACTCAAAAATTGTGTGTCTACTCTGTGTTTTTAGCATCGACAAGCCCAAAGCCCTTTCCCTGCTGCTGCACACTGCAGACATCAGCCACCCGGCCAAAAGATGGGACCTCCACCACCGCTGGACCACCTCCCTACTGGAGGAGTTCTTCAGACAGGTGAGTGGACGTACGGGCCAGGTCATAGAGGAGTGCATGGTCAGCTGATGAGCTGTGTGAGCTTCTGATGCATGCAGAGAGAACATGACACATACACACAACTGTAACATGCACATGCAGTAAAATATTCAGTACTTAATACTTGCTTTGAGCTGTGTTTTAAATAAACTGTCACTATCAACATATTTCAGCAGTTCCATGTGAAACGATCCATACAGACAACTTCCTCTAGGTTCCTTTCATTCTGGAGAAAACTTTAAATCGTGATGATACAAAGTCTGGAGCTATAATCTGCCTTTTCTATCATCACTACAGTGGATTTTTCATCACAATGAACATCGCAAAGAAAATTAAGTCTTAAAATATGCATGTTATGGTCAAATTTTCTTTTTTGACTCATTAACTGTCTCAGTAATTAGCTCATATTCCAGATTTTGGGAATTAATGGTTTCCTTTGCTCCATGACTTTGAAAACTGGTGAAACTTTTTTCGTGAAAAGAGAGGTTTTGTGAAACTGAAACATGAAAGATGGCACCAATCTATACAAGTGTCCAAGTAAACCAGGCCATTGAGCCTTGGTGCCCTCGAGCGTGACAGTCGAGTGAAACAGCTGAAAAGAAAACAGACATCATTCATGTTGCTGACAAACCTCATCACGAGGTTCCAAGAAATGTTCGTAGGATCGTCAGGTTTCTTTCATTCAGAATGAGAATGAAATGATGATGCTATTAGCGAATACTGATCGTTCTCATGTGGCTTTTTGGCACAAATCTACCCCCCAGAGCAGTTTAAACGAGTTTATATGAGTAAAATATGCAGCCATGTCTAATCAAGTCTAATTACAGACACTCTGCTCTCATTACAAATGATGCCATGGAAGATTAGAATGTAGAACATTAACTCTTGGATAAAACAATGCATTTGACCCTAAATAATACTGTGTAATGGCAACTGTTAGCAAGAGGGACAGATGTTTAACTGGTGCCACATTGTTTTAATACCGTCCATTATTAACCCACATTGTTCTCATTATCAGTCTGATTGTTATGTTATTGTTATGTGGCTGCTCTCGCAAGGACTTTGTCTCCGGGGATGTGGATTGCTGATAAATAGCGTCTGTGAAGAACATTGCTTCGCTCCCGACTCCACATCTCATCTGTTTGTGACAAATCAGAAGAGAAAATGAAACACATTTGTGGCCCAAAAGCACTTGAGGCGGGAGCCAGACAAATCCGAAGCCTGTTGATAGAAGTGTGTGCATATGGCCAATGTATGGTGGTGTTGTGTAAGCGTAAAAGTGTAAGTGTGTGTTTATGGGTGAGGGCATGGACTGTGTGTGTGTGTGTGTGTGTGTGTGTGTGTGTGTGTGTGTGTGTGTGTGTATACCTGGAGGGCGGGGTAACATTTTTCAAACACTGAGAATGAATTGGACTGAGGAGGACGTTTTATTTCTAGGGGGACAAAGAATCAGACCTCGGGCTGCCGTTCTCGCCGCTCTGCGACCGAAAATCAACAATGGTGGCACAGTCCCAGATCGGTGAGTCACTACTCTCACATATTAACAAAACCTGTGCATGATGACTGCAGATATACACAAGTTCTGCTAAAGCATGAGCTGACACCACAACAGAACCAACTGTGAGACGTTCAAGAGACGACATATGTTAAAACATTCGTGGTTTTAGCGCGGTGGCCAGTTAGTGGAGACGTGTGCTTCAAAGTGGTATTTTACAGAGGGAAAAACACATATTGACGTATTTTTTCACAATTCATTTCACTCATTGTACAGAAAATACAAAGTTTGTAACCTATAATTAAAATATACAACATTTCAGAGCTCTACGTGATATATAATCATATTATCATGTTCTTTTCAGGATAGCTGATCTCCCCTTAGCTTCCCCTGTAATTCAAACCATGTTAAATTCACTAGATCCAGATTTTTGTTTGGATCTGCACTAAATTTTACACACTCATAAATATCAGTCTGCGTAACATGGCTGATGTTCATCAAGATCCATGAAATATTCTCAATGTTCTGAATCTCTCAATATCTTTGTCACCAGGGTTCATAGACTTCATCGTGGTTCCCACCTTCACTGTGCTGACGGACATGATGGAGCGTATCGTCACTCCGCTCATCGACGAGGCCTCCCACTCAGGTCTCGCTGGCTTTCGACGCTCGAGGTGAGCTGCAGCACTTTCTCTTCCTGCTGCTTAAAAACAGTTCTTATGTGCTGCTCAGTAGCAGGATTAGTAGACGGAAGTGAGTTAAATTTTTTTAATCAACCAGTGCGATTAATCAAGGATGGAAAATGTACTGTTTTTTTCTACCCTTCACCTCTCAAACCGCTCCGAGAATCTACACGCTCGGTGACGGGATCACAGCTCAACAGCTCCTCCGCAATAACAGCATATCTAATGAAAGTATTAAAAAACAGCAGATGAGTCTCCCATGAGTAATCCATTCCTGTGCGTGTAAATGTCTCCACCTTTCATCAGGCAGAGCCACACACCTTGAAATTGATATTTTAGAGATGCTAGACAAGTTCGCCTCACCATCCCTGATCAGAGCGTCAGCACTGGATTGGCATACACAATGGCCTCTCCAGATACAAGGGGAAGTGATTTTGTCACCACTTGCTTCAACAATTGGCTCAATACTCTTAGGTACTAAATGAAGTACGTTCAAGGGTGCTCCAAATATAAAGTACTCCTGCTCTTGCATTTACACGTTACAGAGAGCAAGTGGCAAAAAAGTTTTTTGTTTAAATGTCACTTTCTTGCAGAGAGGGATGATTAGAAAATAAAGAGGTATTTGGGGAGTCTGGCTCTGTATCTTCCATCGCACCTGCACTTCAATTTCAGCCTCTCGTTCCTCCTCAACTGGCGTCATTAGCATCGCTCAGTGGGCCTCCAGTCACAGCTATCCAATTGGAAATCTCCGATAGTGTTGCCATGCATTCTCCTTGTCTACCAGCACACCTGGGTGCTCATGGGTTTCCTTTGACTGTTTCTCCGCAGCGTTTATAGCTGTTTTCAATCATCTGTAACCATGTCTGCTCGCTCTTTCTTCCTCTGTTTATCCTCCCGTCTGTCCTTTTTCTTCCTCTTTCAAAGTGCCTCTGTCAGCTCGTATGTTTTTTATCCAGGCGTTTGACGTGACTCTAAAAGCTATTGGATTGCATCCTGAGGTCCAGGGAACGACTCCTATGTCAGAGGCTTGTGCGTACCTGGTTCTAGGCTTCATTATTTTTTTAATTGCCAATTTTTTTTCCTTCAGCAATCTCCACCCAAAGCAAAAGTTTCATAGTCTTACATTGTGAGCAATATTTAGAGGACCTCATAATTCATTTTAGCTTTAATTGAATCTTAATATGAATTATAGCAAATTTGAGTTTAATTATTTTACGTTTTGGCAAATTGTTCCATTAATCGTTTTTCCAATTAGCCATGAGCACCACCTGTTTGTAATGCATCAATGGGTGTACAGACAACTACTGAATTACTTTGATTCGGAAAAACACATAAATTAATCTTAGTCAAGTTCTGTAGCTTTAGGTCGATTAGCAGATTGATAGACATTTGTTTATAATGGACATTGTAGAAAATACATCTTTAACCCCTAAAAAATACATTATTTAACTGTTTTCACAGGATGAGTCCTTCCTTTGACAAGTAAACTGAAAATGTACATCTAGCGCCATCTTCTGGTCAAATATTGTTTGCGGCTAATTTGCCCATTACCCGCAGAACCAATCAAACGTGCATTGGCATTTTCCTGCTAACATCCTAAACTAAAATGTTGAATATGCTCATTACTTGTTAAACATTAGCATATTGCCACCTGCCACCTAGCATTCAGCTTAAAGCTACACTGTTGAACCTCACTGAGCTGCTAGCATGGCCGTGCACTCACCTAACTCTTCCTCTTCTCTAACCCCTCCCCTCATTTTGTTCCATCCAGTCTGAATAGTATTACCTCAGATGAGGCCAAACGGCACAGTGTGAAGAGCATGGGCTCCGACAGCCAAAGCTCAGGCCAAAGCTCTCTGCTGATGGTGGACATGAAGAACTTCAAGGCCCTGTGGAATGAAGAGGTTTATCAGAACAGAGAGAGGTGGAAAACACAGGCCACTAAAGGTACTGTTCACACATACAACTGATACTTACACTGTGGCAGGTTCACACCAAAAAGTCCAGCTCCTGGTTCTAATCAGTGTCAGAATGATACAATGATACAGTTGCTTTAAACTTAAACTTCCTTTATTGATCCCACAAGGGGAAATTCTTTTTACACTCATGTTTTTTTCATTTTTTAATACATGCATTAACCCACAATCCCACACACACACAGACAGGGCTCAAAGACATGCATATTTTGGAGAGAGATGGTAGAGTGATGGGCAGCCCCCAGGAAAAGCRCCCTATGAGCAATTGGGGGGTACGGTGCCTTGCTCRAGGGCACCTCAGCAGTGCCCAGGAGGTGAACTGGCACCTCTCCAGCTACCAGTCCACCTTCCATGGTTATGGTCCATGCTGGACTTGAACCGGCCACCCTCCGGTTCCCAAGCCAAATCCTTATGGACTGAGCTACTGCTGCCCCTTACTTCCGCTCTCCTTCATTTTCTTGCTAAATAAGAAAGCGGTCCGACACCACTTATTCGAGGCTAAACAGAGTGTGGTTGTTTTGTCCGCACCAGAGTTTGAATCCGGTGTTCACACCATCAAAGGGGTAAAGCTCCAGGATTCGATTAAACCAGATCAAACTAGGTTGGTGTGAACCTGCTCTAAGTCATTCTGAAGTGAACCACATGAATACTCAAAAAACCCTAAAGCCTGTATACCGAACCCTTAGCCCTAAACCCACCGTTCAACTGCCCAGTCGACTGACAAGATAGAGGGAGTTATCAAGATAACCTAACACTCCCTAACCCCTAAACCTACTCCTAACCCTTAACCCTGACCATAAGCCCCTGACCATAAGCCCCTGACCCTACCATAACCAAAACATGATTCTAACCCAAAAACCAAGTCTTGGTAAAACATGTTCCCATGGGTTTGTGTGTATTGAGGCTAAAACCTCCACCCTAATATAAAAGACCAGACACAGACACACGCTAACCTGCCATCACACTCTTTGTGACCTCAGAGGCGGAGGAGAGAGCTAAAAAGGAAGCGGAGGAGCAAGCTCAGCAGGAAGACACTATGGAGCCCCAGGAGGGACAAACAGAATCAGTGCAGCCTGAACCAAAGGAGGACCAACTGGAGGGGGAGGCGCCCGAGTCGGCAGAGGTCAGCAGACCGCCAGATGGTAACACAGGGGAAACAGAGGAGGGAGAACAGGCCGGGAGCGCCACACACAAGAATCCGTCACTTCATAACGGTATTTTCCTTTAACTGTGTCATCCCACAGACGTGATAAATCTTTGGTGAATGTTCATCCACATCTCTACTGCACTGTCTCAAACCCTTTATCAGCAACTTCAACTTCAAACTATTTTCCTTCATTCGATCACTACACAGATAATTCAGAGATTCTTCAACTGGTGTCACAGACATGTCCTTACAAACATAGCAAATAATGATTGTTTCCATAAATAATTTTTTAATGAATTTAAAGAATTTTAAGACTTTTTTTGCAACCAGTAAATTAATTATTTTGTCTGGTCTTTTATTTTTGGATGACAGGTGGTAATTTCTTGTTTTGTTCTGTCAACATTTCAAAATTCAAAGATCTGAGAAGCTGCAACCAGTAATTATTGATTATTGATTTCTTGTCTTGATTAGAAATGTTCCTATCATAGAAATTGTCAGTCTCCTTTTCTGTTGACTAACACATTTATTATCAATTCAATTCATTTTGTGAATGAAAAAGTATTTGAATGTTTCATAGAACAGAAGCTTGAATTGATTTTTTACTTTAAACTGGTTGACTGATCCAGTCCCTGGCCAATGGCCTACAAAAGGTTATTTTAAGATAGAGGATGATTTCAGGATTTTACACGCCAGCGTCTGACAAAGACTATTTTGACTTTTCAGGAGAGTTGTCTGAAGGAGCAGAATCTACAGAGGATGAAGAAAATAAAAACAAAAGTGGCGATGGTGAGTTTTCTTCACGTTTTTATTTCACTTCCAAAGTGAAAACCAATGTTTCCCTGCCTTCAGAGTATTACAGTATTCTGAATTTGTACTGCGACAGAGTTTATGTCAGCCACTTCTTTATGTCTCCTAATATCATTTTCGTCTCAAAGCAGAGGTAGCGATGGAATAATCGAGCTGTCGATAGACAACAGCATCACTGGACCCTGAACCTGTTCCTCTAACTCCACTGGGAGAGCTCACTCAGACTCACGTCAGAGGGAAGGCCATCAGTTGGACTGTGTCGCCCTCTTCAGGGCTTCAAGAAACTCACACCTTCACTTCCATTTTTATGTCCTTATGATGAATAGATTTTACTTTTCCTGTGTTTACCCTCCAACACTCTTGTATGCAGAGTTTGTGGCTCAACCCGTGTGCATTGTTCCTCCCTCTCTGCTTATTGGTGAAGACAATACAGAAGATTTAATGACCTTAAGGTGAAGGTGCGGTTGAGAGGAGCCTTTTGAAAGACTGACACTGAAAATATTTTTTATTTTGCCAATCACACATCCACAGACATGTAGCCATCGTACAAGTCCCGCTTTTTCTGTCTCTGCATTCATTTGTTAGATTTTAGCATCACACAGTAAAAGCTGGTTCATTTAGAAACAAAGCATGTTACAGTCATTTGTTTTCGTCCTTTCAAATTAAAACAGAAGTGCTTTTTATTGTGGAAAATGCAGGATAAATGCACATGAAGAGGGACTTTTACCACTGCTACACGGAATGTAAACTGTATGTGTATAGTACAATGGGGTTAAATTAACAAACCTACTCTATCCAGAAATATTGTGCTCTGTAGGAATTCCTCCTGGGAGTCTCACACGATGGAGAGACTCCCACTAAACAACCTTTTCACCATCAGTTGTGTCTTGTTTTTCCTCTTCACACATTTACTTTCTCAGTGCTTTCCTCAGAACATGTGCGTTTGTGTTCCCTGCAGTCAGGTTCATATTGTTTCTGTGTGTCCTCGTCTGGACTGTAAATATGTTTGTACATCTGAGAATGAGTAGAAATCCTATGATTCCACAATCCAAAATAACGATAGTTTTTGGATGTAATGTAAGATATTGTAGTGGAAAATATATAAAAATTAGAATGCAACCTTCGCATTTCAGACATATCACACATTCAAATGCATTGAAGATATTTTTAAATATTTTTAATCTTTTTATTTAACTTTTTTTTTGTTACATTTGTTCTGCATTTGTCCTTCATGAATCCTGCACTAGATGTGTGTAATATTCTCACTGTGTGTCATCTCTTCATCAAAACACTTCTTGTTCTCGATGCCTTCTTATGTGTATTAAAGCTGTAGCAAAACATCAGCATCGCCGCTGAATTAGAGTAAAAATCTCAGACATGTTAGTCCTTTTATTTTCGCGGCACAGTTAAGTCACGGCAGCTCCACATTCTATCGTTGGTGTGATGTTGAATCGACGTGTTTACAGTGTGCTCGTGCACCTATTAGCCAGCTCGACCTATCAGGCTTCTCGTGACGCATCCGACGCTGAGTACAAACTGTATCTGCTTCTTGGTTGTTTGCCAGGTTTTTAAAGGCTTGTAATGTTGTGTATAGAAGATGCAAATATTGCTTACTGTGCATATGTAACATATTGAACCCCTGCAGCAGCGCTCCAGCTTATATTATCAACCTAACACATGTAAGTGGAAGAAGCATTCGGGGCAGTATTTGCATAATTATAGGTGTGTTTTCCCTAAAATTGTGCGCTTTTATTTTGAAATTCCCTATATGAATAGTGCCAGGATTATGTTCTTGGCATGTTATTTTAAAGTATACAGTACACGTGTCTACTGCTACACATTCTAATATGTATAATATGTATCGGGTTCAAAAAGGTTAAACAATTTAAAACCTGAAACTTTGTATAAAACTATAGGAACTACAAATTATTTTTTAACCTCTTTGTTTTAATACACACTCCCCATTTTTATATTATAACAGGAACACTAGTACCGTGCTGGGATAAAGCAGTTTGTCATGCAATGCTACTTTCTACCTAAAATATACAGTCGGTGGTTAGCAAGCCAGCTGGCTGAATGTGTGCCTCTACATGTACCTTCCATTCCACAACTGTAGGAAAACTAACTTTCTGTGATGTCGTTCAAATCTGTGCTGATCCAGGTACAGTCCAACCATCTAGTTAATATCTTCTTTCATTATTACACACTAAAGGAGTCTTGTGTAAACACTTATTTTGGGAAATCTATTTGTAAAGTCACGGTTTGATGTTGCAGAAGTATAGTATTTATAATGGTATATTTTATGGTATATTTTTGCTCTTTTTCATTTAGGAAGAATCCGTTTTTCCGCTGTTGTGTGCTCTATCGTGTTTGTTTGTTTTGTTCTACTGGACTGTTTTCTCCTTTTGGACTCAGAGGACGGAAATGTGAAAAAGTCTTCAACATGTAACTTTATTCTCTTTTTCTTTTTGTCTCTCCTCTGTGTATCTGTTCGATGTCTTTTGCTCCACCAGCTCTGAACTCGGAAAAGTTCAAGTGGGTCAAAAATCCCAACTGAGTAACAATCATAGCTAATTAAATTTATCATAATAGAACAAAAACAAAACCCATTGCATCCTCACATTAGCCTGTGTGACGCTTGGTAAAGCAGCATTTTCTGTACCAAGGGACCAACACGTGTACAGTCTTGTAGTTCGCTTTCACTTGCTGCTGTGACGACCAACTGTATGAATATTTAATTAATACCGACCATAATCAGAGACATAGCTGTGTTTATGACTTCTAAACGTGATGTTTTGTAACGGTTACTATGGAACAGATTCTCTGTTGTTTGTTTCTTGCTTTGTTTCCTTGTTTAGCCTGAATTACTCTCTGATCTCAAACTGTTCTACTCACTGAGGTTAGATGGATGTAAAGCCTGTGTTTGTGTGTGTGTGAGAGAGAGARAGAGAGAGAGTGTGTGTGTGTGAGAGAGAGACAGCGAGTGTGTGTATGTGTGTGTGGAACTGCTTAAAAATTACTCAATGTGCATTTCTGATCTCCTCACTGTGACCTGCTCTATCAATGAGAGTGTGTGTGAGTGTGTGTGTGTGTGTGTGTGAGTGAGAGATGGTGATGCAGTGGACTGTATGAAACTGGGTAAACAATTCTCACCACCAACAACAATTGAAAAAATACATACATATCAGATCAGCATTTTTAAACGTTAACTTCTCACATTTTGTCAAATTACAAACGTGTCCACTGACCAGCAGAGTGGAGGAAAATAAGAACATGAGGTGGACAGGCGTGAAGCATCTTAGGTTTACCCTCGATTCTCCATGAGACAGAGTGAATAGGAGTGAGTGGGTGTTTGTGTGTGCATGTATGTGCATGCATGTGTGTGTCACTGTCCTATGCCGGCCAGGCGGCCGTGTGTGCCACCATGCTCTGTGACTGCACAGTCGTATCAATAAATCTGGACTCAAAGGGCTCAGATCATGTCTGCCTGTCTTCATTTCTACAGCAACACTGCACATTATCTCACATCAGAGGGGAACTTCAGCAACTGCACATGAATATCAGGGTATTTTCCATAGTGAGAACTCCTCAGTGTGTGATAGAAGTTGAATAATGTCTTCTGTGGCTTCATAAAGCACAAGCAAATAACCAGTTTACATAAAACATTTTAACACAAAAAATAAGATGATTTACTTTAATGATCAATCTGTTGTTGTTCTTTGGATTAATTAAATAAAAGCCCCTGTGAGCTCGACGATGTGGATCTATAAGTCTTTATGAATAATCTTAGTGTCTGTACGAAGGTGAGACTCTTGAAAATGCTGCCGAGGTGTAAGTATCAGTAAAGATGTTACTGTGTAATTCAAGATAGAACAGAAAATAAATCAAATGTTTCTTTTCCACTTTACAAAGGATCACAGTAACATCACAGTTTCCAATAGAAGATTTATTTGTATTGCACTAATTTAAACAAGGTTACAAAGTGCAAATTCAGTAAAAAGTAAATGAATAAAAATACAAGGTATTTAATTCAGTTCAATTTTAAGCATTTAATCATAACAAAAAGACTCAAGACCTTAAAATGTATAGAGCAACCCAACAATTCCCTAGGATGATGTCATCAAATGCTCTTGGTCCAACTAAGAACTGTCTCTCCTCCAGACATGTTGGAAAAAATTCATCATTTGTTATTCATTTGTGTCTCTTTTTTGATATTTCATTCTAAAAATCACATCTCATTCGATTTCAAATCGTTCAAGATAAATATTTTGTGCAGATCAAAAATATGTCACGTCTTTTAACCAGTATATAATCAAACCCAAATGGCATGTTGACAGGTTAAGGCCACAATGTTGAATTTTGAATGTTTGATGGTTGCCTTAGATTTACAAAGAAATGAATAACTGAAGAGCAATAAAATCATTATTTTCTATCATGATAATAACCTGGAATATATTTTTAAATGAAGTTAAAGCTATAACCCACAGAAAGTATCATGCATTAACTCCATCGTTTCACACAGTCAATAATAATCCACTAGATGTCTCTGTTAGACTTCGTATTCCTCTGGAGCTGCCGCAGCATCACTCTGAGCCTCAGAGGCCCCGGGGCCACTAAAAATGATGAATGGACTCGATGTAAACCATGTCACCCTCCCAAGACAGTCAGCGTATAGCTCTTTATCCACCATATAAGCAACTCCACAAACATTAGACACAGAACGCATTTCGATCTGGAGTAGCATGCATATTCATGGGCAGGTTGATGGAGCTGGTGGAGGGATGTGTATGAGTTCTCTGCACCGCGCTGAGTGCTGGAGCAGAAGGCGAATGTTAATTCAATTATACAGCAGCTGTTCCTTGGTGCCCATGGCCACTGTGTTTGCACTAGAACAGAAATCTTGTATTAGGTCCCTCGCCATAAAAGACCATTGCCAGGCATGAGAATGGGGACTGCCTGTAACCAAAAGCCATCAACAGTATTTTAAAGGGCGTTTAATGCTTATTTTTGGCTCGATTGAGGGATTTGATGCGGCTGCAGAGTGAGATTTGTGTTTTTTTATATTGGCTCACTGTTGATTTACAGGGCCTTTGTTTCTGGTCATCACTCTATTAAATTGTGGATCTGCTTGGAAGTAAAAAGTGGAAATTAAGTTTCTCTTGCTGTATTAACTCCAGGCGACTCCAGACTCCAGTTGCTCAGATCGGCACATATGTGTGTCCTGTGGTGGTTCCATCATTTTGCCAAGAAAGAGTCTGATTTACAGATTCATCAAATTCATCTCTTACTTTGTGTGACTCTTTCTCTGGTTATAAGTTTGTATATTAACACATGCATTTGGAGCATAAGAAAAACAACATGTGCAACTGCAGTTTGTCTGTGCAGTGTGTGTTGGTATTTATGCTCCACCCCACCTCCTGTCCCAGGCTTGGGCTGAGCTCCAGTGCTACTTGATGAGGAAGAGGAGGAGGAGGAGGAGGAGGAGGAGGAGGGGTGAGGAGGACGAGGAGGTGGGAGTGATGGCATCCGCTGCCCTGTCCCTTCATTACCTGGCTCCCTGAGACTCACTCTGTGTAATTTAATCACATGGCCACTGGCGGCAACTGCTGCTCTGACGCTTCCTGGACCTGCTAATGAGTTTGCTTTTCCCTCATCAAAAGGAAAACAGCCACACCTGTGGGAAGAAAGTCCTCGGCATCACATATTTATATGCATGTTATGTATATTTATATATATGTATGTGTCTAAATACTTGCGAACATGCAGATGGAGTGCAGAGGCCATAAAGGCAGCAAAGCAAATAAAGCATCTTTTCATCATTTATTAGTTTTAAAATCAATAGTTTGTTCTATGAAATGTCAAATAATTGTCAAATATGTTGATAACAATTT